GTTTAATAGCTTCTGCACAGCAAAGGACACAATTTACAAAGTGAAAAGACGACTAGCAGAATGTGGGAAAATATTTGAAAACTACCCATCTGATAAGAGATTAATAACTAGAATATATAAGGAGTTCAAACACCTTTATAGGATAAATATCTAGCAATTTGAATAGACATGTCTAAAAAAAGATTAGAATGGCAACGATATATAAGAAAAAGTGCTCACAGTTATTATCATCAGAGAAATGCAAATAAAGCTAAAATAAGATGCTATCTCATTCCAGTTAGAATGACTTTTATCTGAAAGTCAGGCAAGAACACATGCTGGCCAGGATGCAGAGAAAAAGGAACCCTGCTACACTGTTGGTGGCAATGTAAACTAATTCAACTGCTATGGAGAATAGTTGAGAAGTTCCTCAAAAAACTAAAAATAGAGCTACCATATGATCTAATAATCTTACTTTCAGGTATATACCCCAAAGAAAAGAAATCAGAATGTTGAAGAGATATCTGCCCTCCCCTGTTTATTGTGTCACTATTCACAAGAGCTAAGATTTGGGAGTGACAGATGAATGGACAAAGAAAATGTAGTGCATATACACAATGGTTTATTATTCAGCCATGAAGAAGTATAAGTTCCTATAATTTGCAACAACGTAAATGGAACTGGAGGTCATTATGTTAAATAAAATAAGCCAGGTACAAAAAGACAAACTTTGCATGTTCTCACTTATTCGTGGTATTGAAAAATGAAAATAAATGAAATCATGGAAATAGACAGTGGAAAGATTGTCACCAGAGGTAGGGAAGGCTTGTAAGATGGTGGGGGAAGTGGGGATGGTTAATAAATATGAAAAGATGGTTAGAAAGAATAAATGAAACCTAGTGTTTGCTAGCACAAGGGTGACAATAGTCAATAATAATTAATTATACATTTTAAAATAACCAAAAGAGTGTATTAGGATTGTTTGTAACACAAAGGATAAATGATGGAGGTGATGAAAACCCCATTTACCCTGAAGTGATTATTATGCATTGTATGCTTGTATCAACATATTTTATTCAACCCATAAATAAATTCATCTACTGTGCACCCACAACAATTAAAAATAAAAATAAATAGTAATACCCATTCTGTCTGGTATAAGAAGGAATCTCATTGTGGTTTTGCTGTGAGTTTCTGTGATTAGTTACATTAAACATTTTTTATTTTTATTTTTTGTACATTTGTATGCCTTCTTTTGCAAAATGTCTCTTCATGTCTTTTTCCCACTTTTTTAAATGAGGTTTTTGTTGTGGTTGTGTTGTTTTTATTTGAGTTCCTTGTAGATCCTTGACATTAGTCCTTTGTCAGAGACATAGTTTGTTAGTATTTTCTCCTATTCTGTAGGTTGTTTGGTCATTTTGCTGATTACTTCTCTTGCTTTTCAGAAGCCTTTTAGCTTAATTAAATACCATTGTCTATTTTGTTATTGTTGAGTTTGCTTCTGAGGTCTTAGTCATGAATTACTTGCCTATGCCAATGTCCATTAGAGTTTTCTAGGTTTTCTTTTAGCATTTTTATAGTTTTAGTTTTTTTTCTTTTTCTTTGAGATGGAGTCTTGCTCTGTCACCAGGCTGGAGTGCAGTGGCACAATCTCAGCTCACTGCAACCTCCACTTCCTGGGTTCAAGCGATTCTTCTGCCTCAGCCTTCTGAATAGTTAGGACCACAGGCATGTGCCACCATGCCTCGCTAATTTTTTTGTATTTTTAGTAGAGACAGGGTTTCACTGTGTTGTCCAGGATGGTCTCGATCTCTTGACCTCGTGATCCACCCGCCTTGGCCTCCCAAAGTGCTGGGATTATAGGCGTGAGCCACCATGCCCGGCCTAGTTTTAGTTTTTATATTTAAGTCTTTTTTTCATCTTGAGTTAACTTATATAATAAGATGTAGGTTTCAGTTTTATTCTTCTGCTTATGGCTATCCAATTTTCCCAGCACCATTTATTAAATAGAGTGCCCTTTCCCCAGTGTATGATTTTGTCAACTTTGTTGAAAATCAGTTGGCTATGGGCAACAGGCTTTATCTCTGTGTTCTCTATTCCAGTACATAAATCTATGTGTCTATTTTTATATCAGTATCATGCTGTTTTGGTTACTATCACCTTGTAGTATAGTCTGATGTCTGGTAATGTGATGACTCCAGATTTGTTATTTTTGCTTAGGATTGCTTCTGATATTCAAGGCTTTTTTGAGGGGATCCATATGAATTTTAGGATTTTTTTTCTAATTTTGTGAAAAATGACATTGCATTGAATGTATTGCATTTTGATAGAGATTGCACTGAATCTGCATAATGCTTTCAGCAGTATGGTCATTTCAATGATATTTCTTCTGATCCATGAGCATGGTATGTTTTTGTATTTATTTGTGTCATCAACAATTTATTATATCAACATTTTGTAGTTTTCTCTGTAGCTGTCTTTCACTTTCGTTGCTAAATGTGTTCCTAGGTATTTTATTTTATTATTTTAGCTATTGTAAATGGGACTGACTTCTTAATTTGGCTCTCAGCTTGATCATTACTGGTGTATAGAAATGCTACTGATTTTTGCATACTAATTTTATCTCCTGAAATTTTATTGAATTCATTTATCAAATCAAGGAGTCTTTAGGGTTTTGTACATGTAAGATCATATTATCAGCAAACAGAGATAATTTTATTTTCTTTTTCCAATTTGAATGCATTTTATTTTTTTCTCTTGCCTGATCAAGTTCTGCTTAGAACTTTGAATATTATGTTAAATAGTAGTGGTGAAAATGGGCATCCTTGTTTTATTTCAATTCATAGGGGAAATGCTTTTGACCTTTCCCTATTCAGTATGATGTTGGCTGTGGGTTTGTCGTATATGGCTTTTATTATTATGACTATATTCCTTTTATTCCTAGTTGGTTGAGGGTTTTTATCCTGAAGAGATATTGAATTTAATTAAATACTTTTTCTGCATATCTTGAGATGATTATATTTTTTAAAAATTCTGTTTATGTGATGAATCAAATTTATTAATTTGTGTATGTGGAATAATCTTTGCATCCTTGAAATAAAACTCACTGGAACAGGGTGCATTGTCATTTTGATATCCTGTTGTATTCAATGCTAGTTTTATTGTGGATGTTTGAATCTATATTTATCAGGGATATTGGCAATGGTTTTCTTTTTTTATTTTGTACCTGTCTGGCATTGGTATTAGGGGGATACTGGATTTGTAAAATGAGTTAAGGAGAATTCCTTTCTCCTTAGTTTTGTGAAACATTTTCAGTAGGATTGTTACTATTTTTCTTCTTTTTTTTTTTTTTTTTAAATCTTTATGTTCCTTTATTGGAGCAAGATTCCTGATCGGTATACAGTGAAGTATTTACTAAACAGAGACCTGTGCGGAAATTACATACTATCAATCTAGACAGGTTGTTACACTTTTGCCTATTGATGGAATAGTTCCATTTATCAAGTTTTATACATCAAAAAGCTTTTGAATTTCACCAGACTGTCCATTAATTCACCTCTGAAAAAGTGTCATTTAATTTCAGCTACTATATTTTACAGCATTAAAAAGCTTATGCATTAGGGTGCTTCTCTGCACAATGGCATTGAGCAGACAGAGCTGAGTCCATTATTCCACCCAGATTCACATAGTCACATTTGAGAACTTTATACCAGAGAGCTGGGACAGTTACCGCCGACCATTGCAGACTCCTACTCTGAGAGCCTATCTCCTTGGCCACATTTTATATAGCCAATGAAGACATGCCAGTAACTGTCCCACATATAACTTGGCATGAGAGCACCAGGTCTGTTGGATGGTGGTGGCAGGTACTATTATTTTATATCCAGGTAAATGGCCAATTTTAAAAACTGCCACTTGGAGATAAAAATCAAGGGCACAATATACTCAAAGTATTGAGCAATCTGGTATCCCAAATGATGTGAGTACTTTCAGAAACCAATGGCAAATTGTACCCACTTTCCCAGCTATGGCAGTATCAATACATTAATTCAGATCCCGTTACTCAATCCACATAGCCCTGAGGTCATCCTGTAAAGTGCGTATCAAAAAATACGAAGTTAGGGTGACAAAGTTTGACAGTGATGTTGTACAAGTCAAACTTGGAAGGTCATAGTGAGCAGACCTGTGCTGAGAGAAGAGCATCAAATCCTTTGTGTACACATTTAGTTTTATTGTAACAAAGCAACTTGTACACTTTTAACGTTTAAAACTGAGCATCATCTTTCCTTTCCAGTGAAACAAAAAGAAAATTTAAAAATAAACAGGAACAAAATTACAATAGAGAATGTCAATTCCAAATAAGATCCTACAGGTTCTGCTGATTCTCCCATTGAGTGGCAGGGCTCAAGTCATCATTAGGAGAGAATTTATTTTAAAAGTGTCATCTTAAACTGCAAGGATGTCTGTCAAATGTCACAATTAAACATGCCAAAGGAGAAGCCATGTTGTCAAAATGCCCACTTACCCCACCCAAACATCTCAAACCCACCCTTTGCTGACCTTCTATAACCCCATTTTTTTAAGTTTTTTTTTCTTTTCTTTAAACAAGAGAAAGTAGACAGATACATGTTGGTAAATGCTAACTGACCATATTCACATAGAGACACAGTGTACTCTCTGAGCCCAATATACAGAGAAAGGAGGAAAAAAGCTAGAATTCTATGCACTACTACACAGGGGCCTAGCACCCTCCAGCTTCCAGCAGAGCGAAGGGAGCAGGTTTTTCTTTTTTCCCACAGAGCTTGGTGGTATTGATTCCATACAGTTTTTGTTAAGACAGGAAGGGATAAAAATGAATTTCAAACAGAAAGGGGTAGAGACTCTTTTTTTTTTTTTTTTTAATTTTTTATTGGATTATAGGTTTTGGGGTACATGAGCAGAGCATGCAAGACAGTTGCGTAGGTACACACATGGCAGTGTGCTTTGCTTTTCTTCTCCCCTTCACCCACATTTGGCACTTTTCCCATTGTATCCTGCTCAAGATATTTCCCCCCAAAATAAGTTGAGAACCATGGTGTAGAGAAAAGAGACCTCAAAAACAGGGTGACTGAGCACAAGAGGGAAGGAAAAAAAAAAAAAAGACTGCAACTTGCTCCCAGGGACTGGAGAAAATTTAAAAAAAGGAAGGTTGGAATCCATCAGTGTTCTATTAGTCATCTTCTCCTTCATCCTCCTCTCCTTCCTCCCCTTCATCATCATCTTCATCTTCTTCACCTTCATCCTCATCCCCTTCTTCATCAATGTCTTCTAATCCTTCCTCCTCTTCATCATCATCATCATCTTCTTTTCCTTCTCCTTCTTCATCATCCATATCAGGAACCAAGTAGTATTGTAATGGGTTTGGCCAAATATCATCTTTGATGACCTCTCCTAATTCATCAGCACCTGCATCAGAATGGTCAGTAAACCAGGTAAAGAAGCTCTCTGGTTCCTCATGCTGCCTCTTCCTGCTGGCTTTATTCTGCGTTTGACTTGAACGTTTCGTCAAATCCTTTCCAGATTTGCATTTGATTTCAGTGGACTTTGAAGATGGATCACCACTCTCATTCAGATGAAATTCTTTGGAGAGAACTTTATTTTCAAAGTAAGGATTTTCATCAAAATAAAAATCTATTCTGTAACCTGATTTAATATCTTCAAATTCTGTCACTTCAACTCTGGTCAAATAATGCAGTGCCTCTTCGTCCTCCTCCCCAAGCAGTGCAGACACTTGTGGATGGTTGACAAATGTTGTTACCCAAAAATTTGGGATTTTGGCGATCAATTCTGACCTCTTCTGAAAAAATGGTTGGCGGAGTTTGTTATATTTCTGTTCTACTTTCAAAAATCTCCTCACTGGCTTGTTCATTAAGTCTGTCTATTTCATTTTGTACTTCATCAATGTGTTCAATTGCTTCTTGCTGTTCTTTTTCTCCCTTCTTCGGCAAGCCTGCAGAGGCCGATGTCTCATCCAGTCCCTGAGCAGGAGGTGGTCTTGGTTTCTTCTTTTGAGGCGGGAGTGGAGACTGGTGTTTGGGGGCCATGCTGCTGGGGAAGTCCGAGAACCGGAGCACAAGTCTTCTTGCTCGTCCGGAAGCAGGCAGAACACTCACTATTTTTCTTCTTATATGACTGGTAGAACTCAACTGTGAATCCATTTCATCCTGGCTTTTTTTTTTTTTTTTTTTTTTTTTTTTTTTTGCCTGGGAGATTTTAAATTACTGATTCAATCTCATTACTTATTATTGATCTGTTCAGAATTTCTATTTTTCATTTAATCTTGTCAAGTTTTATGTTTCTGGGAATTTATCAGTTTCCTCTAGGTTTTCTAGTTTTTCAGCATAGAAAAGTTCATAATAGTCTTTGATGATTTTTCATATTTTTATGGTTCAGTTGCAATGTACCATTTTAAAAAACATTTTTAGTTGTGCTTATTTGAATCTTCCCTCTTCTTATCTTCCTCAGTCCAGCTAGTGGTGTTTCAATATTATTTGTTTTTTAAAGAACCACTTTTTAAACTTAATTTATCCTTTGTATATTTTTGGTTTCAGTTTCATTCAGTTCTGCTCTGATTTGTGTTATTTCTTTTTTTCTGCTAGCTTCAGGCTTGGCTTGTTCTTGTTTTTCTAGTTCCTCAAGGTGTGATATTAGATTGTTAATTTGTAATGTTTCTACTTTTCTTTTTTTTTTTTTTTTTAATTTTTTATTGGATTATAGGTTTTGGGGTACATGAGCAGAGCATGCAAGACAGTTGCGTAGGTACACACATGGCAGTGTGCTTTGCTTTTCTTCTCCCCTTCACCCACATTTGGCATTTCTCCCCAGGCTATCCCTCCCCACCTCCCCCTGTTTCTACTTTTCAATGTAGACATTTAATGCTATAAACTTCCCTCCTAACACTAATGTGTTGTATCCCAGATATTTCAGTATGTCTTCATTTTCATTCCTTTTGAATTAAAAAAAAATTCACCTTAATTTTGCTGTTGACCCCAACTTGTTAGGATCATTTTGTTTAATTTTTATGGATTGGCATAGCTTCAAGAGTTCCACTTGGAATTGATTTCTAGTGTTAGAGTGTCAGTGATACCATGTGAGAAGAACTTGACCTATCATTGCTGGCTTTGAGAAGGCAGAGAGGTTGTAAGACATTGGATATGGCCAGCCTCAAGAAGCTGTGACGTTCAAGGAAATGCATTCTTCCCTAGAACCTCCAGAATGCAGCACCTTGACAACACCTTGATTTTAGCCAGTGAGACCCATTCAGACTTCTGATCTAATTTCTCTAGCTAAATGGGAACCACTTTCCTGAGAAGTTCTGTTCATTACTCAGGGAAAGTGTGAAATGACTGACTGACAATGTCATACAGAAGTTAGGCCGTTTGACTCAAAATGAGACCAACTTTGTGGTGAAAGTCATGCTCCTGAGCTCTCTATGAAATCAAGGTGAAGACGGTAGACTAGAGGTTTTTTTTTAGCATGCCTCACTCACTTGGAAATAGCAAAAATAATGTTTAGAGATTCACACTGTGTACTTATATCCAAGAAGGAAAACAGTTTTGTATTCTTTGCGCTATTTTTATAGTTTTCTATATATTTTAAACATCACTGAAAGATGTAGTGGCTCTCAGAAAAGAAGTGGCTATTTAGTGAGCATATCTCAAGAAAATATTTCCATATTAAAATTATCTGTAAACCATGGTAATTCACACATCTACTTCAAAATTGTATTAAATCAGATAATACATGTTAAGTACTCTGCAAATTTCCTGGCTTGTACTGCTTAATAAATATCAACTATGAATGCATAATAAAAAGGGAAATTGGGACAATATCACAATTGAGTTCCTTTACAACAATATATTTTATAAATTGCAATATAGCTCATACAGCTAAAATAACAGGCACAGATTATTTTGAATTATCTTTTTAAAACTATAACATTCTTCAGTGTTCTTAACCAATCTCAGTGCTTTGCTTTTTGTTCATTTTTAAATATTACATATTTTATTGAAGAAATAATGTATACATGAATTTGAAATGTTTTAAAAAGTATTAAGAGCAGCAAATAACATATCTCATTTAAACATTTTAGAAGAAATCACAAGCATTTTCTTATAAATATTTTCAAAATATTTCTTTGCAAAGACTCATCCTCACACATAAATATGCACATTCGAATATAAAGACAATCACATTTTCACATTGTATTTTATCACCTAAAATTAAATTCTGAATATATTTCTATTAAGCACATACAAATCTTTTTATCCCATGATATTAAATTGTATTTCATTGGAGATATGCAGGGTTTTTATTAAAATAATTAATAATCAGTACAAACACTGTCCAATCAGAATGGCTGCCGGAACACTCAAAACAAACATGGGTATGGGTGTAACAGTGCCACAAAACCACAACTTCAGTAGCTTGTAATTTCAAGCATTTATTTCTCATTCCTGAGTTTACAGATTCACTGATTTTGAGTTCATATAGCTTTAGTGTTCCTTACTCTAGTGACTAGGCTTAAGGAGGAAATGTTCTCACTGTGGATGTTAGGAATACCTAACCACACATTGCATTTAGAGCTTTATAACTGCTTAGGTAATCACCGGCTAAAGCAAAGTATATGACTCAGGGGCCTCAGGGCAAGAGCAAAATGTGAAAATTGTAAACAAATGCTGATGTTTATCAAACTGAATGTCGGTTCTGTATGGAATTAGAACATTTTTAATTTTATAATTTTGTGGGTACTTAGGTGTATAATTTTTATAGGGTACATAAGATGTTTTAATACTGGCATGAAGTCCCTTCTAATCACATCATGGAGAGTGCTGCATCCATCACCCCAAGCATTTATTCTTTGTGTTACAAACAATACATGTATATATTTTTAATTATTTTAAAATGTCAATTAAATTATTATTGACTATAGTCACCCTGTTGTGTTATCAAAGGACAACAGGGTGACTATAGTCACCTGTTTATTGTTTATTCATTCCTTCTAATTTTTGGTACCAAACCCACTCCCACAACAAACCTCAACCCCATTACTCTTTCCAGCCTCTGGTAACCATCTTTCTACTCTCTATCTAATTAGTTTAGTTGTTTTGATTTCTTAGATCACACAAATAAGTGAGTACATGGGATTAGCACTATTTCATTAAACAAATTTTACTGATGCACACATAGTATTTCTATTCTGTAATTATTATAAGCAAGGCAATAATAAAATTTTTACTGTCAAGTAACTTTTTATTTTCAAATTTATAAGTTTTTATAGTACTAAATTTCCAAAAGGTAGAATTTCTGGGTCAAAATATAAACTTCATTATTTTGATGGAAGCTATGTTCTAAGGAAGTTGCATTAATTTACACTTCCAACAACAATGCATCTGAATGCTTTATTCTTTACACACTTCCTTATATTGTATGGAGAATTGTAAATTACTATTTTAATTTACATTTCTATAGTTTTTAGTGAGTTTGAAGAATTTCACATATATACAAATCACACAACCTTCCCGTTAGTATGAACTGCCTACTTCTATTTGTTATTCATTTTCACTGGATTCTTGTTTTTAAGAAATACACTTTTTAGTATGTGAGTATGAGCTATTTACAAATCCTATAAATGAAATACATTCTCTTTCTATTTATGTGGATTTATGGAGGAGCTTTCTCTCACTGTAAGCCTAGACAAAATGAATCAAAGTGCCCCTTAGAAAGTTTGAAAAGTATTTTAGTTTGAGGGTTACAGTCTCACATTTGAAAAGTCAAATGTATGAGAAACTCTACCTTGTAGCTGCTCTGGATAAAACAGATTTCTGTGCTGCATTTCCCAAATTTGCGGTGACTAGAAATAAATAACATTATGAAGGCAAAAGATGTGGACCATGTGATGGAGATAACAATAAAAGAACTGAGGAAAGCATCTTAAGTGACCAGCAATATCCTTGATGTGTATCAAGGATACTGCAACTTGAACATGCCAAGCCAATTCATAAAAGCACCCTACGTGAGGTAGAGTTAGCTTTAAACACCTTCCAGGCACAAAAAAATGCTACATGTCTTTCTCTTCTTCCATCCCCCTATTTCTCCTCCTCCCATTTTCTCAACCCAACCCATCCACTGACCCTGAAAGGAATAAAAACAGTTACAGAGGAGATATACTCCTGAAAAACAGATAAAAAATATTATTTTCATGCAGCTTACCTCCTGGTGGAGTGAAACAATTGACAATAGGAAAAACAAATGCTTAAAAAAGGAGAAAAGTATAAGTGACTGGGTGCCTATTTCAAATTGAATGGTTAGAAGAAAACTCTGAGAAAATAACATCAAGAGGATGTCTGAATACCAAGGGCTTTCTGGGGAAGATCGACATTGTCTAGTATACATATTTTAAGAACATCTTTAGTCGTGTATAAGAAAATAGACTGTGAGTTTAGAAGAGAGGCACCCAAATTCTGTGAAACTTTTGAGCAGCATATAAAGCCATTTTTTAAAACTGTTCTAAAGCACAGATAAATATTTTAATACACTCCCCTCTTCAATCGTTTTTAGTTTGTAAGCACAACATTGATATGAAAACAGTAATTGATAATAACAATAAAAAAAGATATTTTCAGAAGAGACCCTTTTATGTACATGCAAAAATCCTGAAAGCTACAATGCACATAATACCATGGTACCTGGAAAGAATAAAATCACTACATTAGTAGAGTTTAGATCAGTAACTGAGGGCAATTCAATATTGCAAATAATTTTACTACATGCTTATTACCATAGTACGCTTACTTTCTGAAAAAAACCTATTAAAATAAGAATATATAGATAATTTCTAAAGCTGATGTAATATGTGTGTGTGTGTGTGTGTGTGTGTGTGTGTGTTCTGTGTAGATACTCAGAATTATAGGAGCATGTAGTGTATATTGTCAAGTGTATGTAATGTATATCAAGTCACATAACAGAATCATGATACATCACGATAGAAAATCAGAAACACCTCCTTACAAATTTGGAAAGAGAATATCATTACCACTCTTAAAAAGTATTCTATATTCACTATCGAATTTGAATTAATGAAGTAACTAAATGAGGCCAATATAC